TATTATTTGCACTCGGACGGACCCTAGGGTTTGGTTTTATTGCGTTTTTCATCTCTCGTAGAAATGAAAAGACCATATTGTCCTTTGTATTTGTCTTCTTCTTCTTCTTCTTTTTTTTTTTTTTAGCTTTTTATGATTAATTTATTATTAATGAATGTAAATGATTAAATAAACTTAAAATGGAACGATGGTGTTTTCAGATCGGCGGTGTCTTGTAATTTCGTGTCGCCTCTTGGTGGTTTCCGGTGGCGTCTGACATTTGGTGTTTTCCGGTAGTGTTTGGTGTTTTCGAGTGACGTCTAGTGTTTTAATACATGGAGTTTATATATGATTTTTTTTCTTCTTCAATTCAAACTTTATTCGAGTAGGCTGCCACTTGGTTTCAAAATATTTTTTTCTTCATAATTCTAATTAATATGTATATAATATTATAAGTTTTTCTATTTAAGTTACAAAAAGTTGATTAAACTAGAAGGGTGCATGTAGAAAAAACTTCATGTGACATCCATACCTTCATCGAAATATTTACAAAAAGATTGATATTCAGGCATTCCAAATTTACAACCATAAATCACATGTGCAACTTGAAGGGTATAAAAGCCATACAAGCTAACTTCATGTAACTCATTTTGTCATTTTACTAATCATCATGTATCTGGAAAAAAAACATGGAAATTGAAGTAGACTATATCGTAATGGAATGTAAAATACACAAGAAATAAGTCAATAAGTCAATCGACTACCACTTTAACACTTGTATTCCCTTAAAGTGCCGAGCCTCCCAAATTCCATGAATATATCTAATAGTTGCTTTAGGTTTATTTATGCACTCTGCTAAGTTTGCAACATTAAGAAAACAGACTTTTTAAATTCTGATAGAAATTGTATTCAAATTAAGAGGACAAAGAAGAAAAGATTTCATGTGATTATGTATATTTACAAACAATATAAACATAAAGAGTGGGTGCCAAATGCATATGGTTTATGAGTAAAGCAAAATCATACTAGTATATGGATGTTGAAAAGATAAAACCTATGTTGTTTGTTTTTTTATAGGAGTGACTTGCATAAGCACATACATTAATGCATGAAATTAGGGCTGAAAAAGGTGAAGCGCTTACATTAAGATAACATCAACCCAATTTGACATATATTGCCCCACCTTCATCCCTTGTGAAATCGGAATCTCAAGGTGTAATATCATCAAATGCAGGTTCAATTACAATTTCAATTTCTATACAAAAAAAGTAAAAATATGAACTTTAATACAATTTCAAAAAAGAAAGACCGAAAAGAAAAACATGCAAAAACAAAATATTCTAAATGTAACAAACAATTTTCGTAATTTAATCGACACATATCCTGAATGAAATAAATGATTTTCAGAATTTACATAATGCATATCCTAAATGAAACAAACAATTTTCGTAATTTACTCGATGCATATCTTAAATGAAACAAATGACTTTTGTAGTTTACTCGATGCATATCCTAAATGAAACAACAATTTTCGTAATTTACATAATGCATATCCTAAATGAATCAAACGATTTTGTAATGTACATAATCTATATCCTAAATGAAACAAACGGTTTTTGTAATTTACTCTATGCATATCCTAAATGAAACAAACAATTTTCTTAATGTACATAATGCATATCCTCAACAAAACAAACGATTTTTGTAATTTACATAATGGATATCCTAAATGAAACAAACAATTTTGTAATCGACATAATGAGTATCCTAAATGACACAATCGGTTTTCATAATTTACTCCCTGCGTATCCTAAATGCAAAGTTATGAAAATCGTTCGACGATAGCTGATGGTCGACCGGTAAACGATTAATTGAAGTAGGTGGGGATTAGTCGGAGGAGATTAATTGGGGACCCTAAATTATTAATAAAATTATTTAAAAAATTAATATATCCTAAAAAAAATAAGTATTTGAAAATTTAAAATTTTTAAAATTTAAAAATTTGAATATTTTAGAATAATATTTTAAAATTTGAAAACTTAAAAATATGAAATTTTAATATTTTAAAGTAATTTTTGAAAATTAAAATTTTTGAATATTTTAAATATTTCCCACCTATTACCGCTAAGGAGTGCCAATGACCGCCGAGCCCGATTTTGACTAATTTCCGCCAAGCACCCTAATCGTAATCGGTTCAAGGCCGCCTAACGATTAATCAGACACCAAGCGAATGGTACATGTGGTTTAAGGTGATTTGTGTGATTGGTCCCTAAAAACTTTTTTTTAACTCGTACCGTCCCTAAAACTGTATTTTGTTGCGTATATTTGATCTTTATTAACTTAAATTGACCACTTTACCCTTATAATTTTATTTTTAAAATTATTTTTTATTTAATTTTTGATTAGAAAATTATTTAATAAAAAATCCATGTGGGCCCACCACCAAAACCTACTCCCTTTAGACTGACTACCTTCATTGGCAACCAACTCAACCCAAATATTTATTAAAAAATAAGTTATCTATCTTCCATGTACACAACTTAACTGACCATGAACTTTTATTCACATTAGCAACCCAACCCAATCCTCTATTTTATTTTTAAAAAATTAACAAAAAATATATCAACATTATACTCATTTTGTAGAGAATTTTATTTTATGTTTTTTATTATATTTTATTTAATTCTAAAATTAATATATAGTCAATTTTTTATCAAATAAATGAGATATAAAAAAGAACAAGAAGTGAGAAAGATGGTGAACTATGGTGAGCTAGGTTGTGGGGGCAATCTGCTCACTCAATTTCTTTTCTTTTTAATTTACTTTTTTTAATTTTTTGGGTGGCCCATAGTGAGCTGCTCACCAATGGGGATGGTCTTACATCCTTCGACCTTCTTCATTGTCGGCTGCATCCATGCAACCTCCTCCTTCGCCACTGTGACTTGCATCCCATCCTTTATCCCTCGTTCATCTTCAACATCGAGCTGCATCTCCTTCTTTCCTTTCCTTTCTACTGCCTCTATATTTCTTGCTCATATGTGACAGGCGAAGCATTACTGACGGAATCCACCATTAACGAACCATCAAATGCCCTTAAACCCCAAACTGTCGATCATTCCTAAAGCCACCATTGTGAAATCAAAACCATGCATCGTGGTTTCTGTGGTTGTGCCGCTGAAAGAAATCACCACCGTCATTGCTTCAGTCCTCGTCCACCTTCATCGGATCCTAAATCCCTTTACTGTTACTGTCCATCATGAGAAAGAAAAAGAAAATGAGATAAGAAAGAGACTAGAGGAGGCTAGGGTTCGGTGGTTTGAGCATTGTTGCATCATGAGAAAGAAATGAGAATTAGATATGAAAGTCAGATCCATGGAGGTCACTATCATCTGGTTCCAGCTTCTCTCCACTCCCCTTTTTTTTTCTTATCTCTCATCTATTAACGAAATAAATGTTGAAAATATTTTTTTGGGATTTTTTTTTGGATTTGATGGCTTAAGGTGTGCAATCTAGAACATTAAGTTCATCAATTGGGTTGTAATTTAGAATCTGTGTGTTATTTTATGATTTCTATTTCATCTTATTTTCTTTTTTTGAGATTTCAGCTTCATCAAATATTGGTTTTAGTTTTGTGTTTTTTTAATAAAGTTGACAGTAGTTATAAGCTTGGTTATGGATCTTTCCTTAAACACCAAGGAGGTGGGCAAGCGGGAAGGCATCGTTTTGGTCGGAGAAGGACGATAAAAATGAAACAGAGTTATGGATGGTTCGCCGGAGAAACCAAATTTGTGGGTTATTTACCAGAGAAGAAGAGGGCGGAGGGTGGAGGTTGAGGTGGGTAGAGTAGGAATGAGGTGGTGGGACCCATCAAATTTTAATACTTAATTGATACCTTTTTTTAACATTTAATTAATAATTTTTATTTAATCGATAATTTAAAAAATATAAAAGAAATCAGTAGGGGTAAATCCATTTTTTTACACAGGATAAGGACAAGCATGCAACAAAAATATAAAATAGGGATCGTCCGAGTTAAAAAAAGGTTGTTAGGAACAAAACACGCAGATTACCCTAAACTATAGGGATCATCCGTGTTATTTACCCTTTACTTGATGCATATCCTAAATGAAACAAACGATAATCATAACTTACTCAATCTATATCCTAAATGAAATAAACGATTTTCGTAATTTTCATAAGGCATATCCTAAATAAACACAAACAGTTTTCGTAATTTATTCATAAAAATTCCTGAAAATGGTCCCTGTGGTTTGCAAAATTTTATTTTTCGGTCTCTATGTTTTCGTTTGCACTCGAACCGTCCATGGGTTTTTGTTTTATTTTGTTTTTCATCCCCTCGCAGAAATGAAAATACCATATTGTCCTTTGACTTTATCTTTTCTAATTTTTTTTGTTATCTATTTATTATTAATGAATATGAAAGATTAAATAAACTTAAAACGGAAACCATTCAAAACCCTACACCCCACACTTCTCATGTACTTCTCTCTCATTTTAATTCACCACCACTTTCGAAACCCTCCCACCGGAAGCTTCATCAGACCAATAATAAACAATCACCACCACCACCATCGTTGTCTCTTACCTTTCCAAAAACACCTCTTGTGTTTTTTCAGGTAGTGTTTGGTGTTTTCCGGCAGAGTTTGGTAGTTAGCATCGCTGATGAACTGAAATGAGAGAGAAGGGCATGAGGGGTGTAGGGTTTTGGGTGGGTCCAATTTCAAGTTTATTTAATAATAAACTAATAATATAAAAATGAAAATATAAATATAAAGGAAAATATAGTCTTTTTTTAGCGCTATGAGGGATGAAAAACACAATAAAATTAAAACTTAGGGACCTTCCAAGTACAAAAGAAAACATAGGAACCAAATGTGAAATTTTAGCAAACGACAAGGAGCATTTCAGTAAATTGTTCTCTCCATTGGCACTCTATCAAAGTATCACCTATAAATATAAGCACCCCATATCATCTTAACGTATTCACGTCACAGTTGCCTCGTCGGAATTTCGAGAAGATGGATCCTATCGAATCAGAAGCCAACCTCCGTTCACAATTCCTTGAAGTTCTCTGCAGTCGCCGTTCTCGTGTAGGCAAGCTGCTTTCATATATTTGGTCAATTTTTATGTTTATTTGTTGCGAATACTTGGGCTCATATCATACTCTCCTCTACTCTTATACAACCCTGTGAGTTCTTTGCCTAAAATAATTAAGCAATATAGAAAAAGGAGTAGTTCTGGGACAGATATTGCTGCTAGACTGCTAGTAGCAGTAGATTTCTTTTGAGCTAATTAAGATAGTGGCTATGGAGATCACAGATAATTGTGTGCGTTTTATGTATCTAGATTTGTTTATAAATATCGAAAACTTCCTCAATCTTGTAAGAGTAGTATAAGGTCAGTTGCTTTCATTATAAAATAACTCATTTGATTGTCCAAAGTCAAAGTGCAAAACTTGTCTGAATACATGTAGTTTCTATTGTAATACCCTGTTTCTTTGTTTTCCATTAATTGTTCTCTAGAGAAAATAATTGAGAAGGAAAAACTGAGTTGTGTATATTTGTAAAAAGATAGGACTTAACTGGAAAAGCCTTATTTCCGTAACCTTTTCAATCAAGCTTTTCTCTTGCATCAACTTAAAAAAAAAGAAAGATAAAACATAACTACCTTACCAGATTAAGTCATGACCCCATTAGGTAACAAAGAAACAACACCAAACTTTGTTCGTTATCTCTCATTGTCTTGTTAGGAGAGGAATTAAGTTTAACTTTTCAATAACTACTGTTATCACTCTTGTTTATCAATAATTTCATTGAAATATGGCTTCATCTCTTTATTTGTCAAAATGTGGATTCATAATATATTTCTAATATAGTTTTTTTTTCAGTTCCACTTCAGACACTACCTGCAAAATGCGTGGTGGATCCCTTATATCAGGGAACACCTTGTGACTATGAGGTGGACATTACTTGGCATATACTTTACTTTTCTGTTAATCATTGTTAGAAGTTATCTTAATTGAACACTATCAGGAAATGAAATCTGTCCTGAAAGCACCCATCCATAACTTCAACGAAGAAAACTTCTACCTAATCACTAAGGTAACTTTCACCCCCTTTTTTTCTCATTGAATGCTAATCGGATAAAGTTAATATGACATTTGAAAGATATCTGATCAGAAAATAATTACATACATGGAACTATGATAGTATGGAAGGATTGAAGGAAAAAATAAACGAAAAGAAATTTTTAAATGCTAGGAATTAAATTAGACCTTTTCTATAAAGTCAATCTTTCTGCATTAAGTTAAAAATAAACACTCATATTGGATGAGCCTTCTTTCGTTGACTTTCTCTATTAAGTCGTTCTTTTTATACCAAGTCAACAAGATACATATATATATATATATATACTTCTCTCTATTTAAAGGTTTTCCTATGAGCACCTTTATGAAGAAACTAACATGTGATTCTTTTATTCCTGATGTTAACATGATGAAACTAATTATTTTATTCAAATTAGGAAGGAGAGCAAGGGCAACTGCCAGTGCTGATTTTGAGCAAGAAAGAAAGCACATATTCGAAAAGACTAGCTGTTGTTTTTCTACATAGCTCACATACATGCAAAGAGTGGGTACGCCCTTTACATGAGGTATAATATAAAATTACAAGGGTAGATTGGTCATTTTTTCATTTAACAAATGACTTTGATCTAATGATTTCTTCCTTTGAATTCAGGATTATGCTTCACGTGGATATATTGCAGTTGCCATTGATTCTCGTTACCATGGAGAACGTGCCAAAACCCCCACCGCCTATGAAGATGTGAGCATTGAAACCTGTATTTATTTTTATTTTCTTTATGCCAAAAAGAATAGGGATAAATGCAAGATAATAATAAAAAGCAACATACTTTCATATATTTGTTTATTATAGAATCCTACTTTGAAAAAAATCTATCCAGTTATAGCAATGTGATTCATATGGAAACCAATTTTTCCATGCTATGTATAGTTGAGTAGTTTTTGAAGAGTACAATTGAGAATATCCTAATTATCTTTCATGATCTCAAACCATAAATATATATTCAATTTTATATATTCTGGTTTATATATTCTGTTTATGTATTCTGGATCCAGGCTCTGGTTTCATCATGGAAAAAAGGTGATACAATGCCATTTATATGACACGGTTATACTTCTTAACTCTTGAATTTTTCAAATGACATTATAACCTTTTAATGCCCAAATGTTTAACATTTATTATGTTTTAGGTGTGGGACCTTTTAATGTTGGCAGATTATCTAACCGCAAGAGAAGACATAGACAATTCCAAGATAGGAATCCTTGGGATGTCACTTGGAGGTTGAAATTTAATATTTTATTAAACACAACATCTATCAAAAAGAAGTGTGTGTGTGTGTGTCTATATATATATATATATATATATATATATATATAATGAGTTAACATGCCTTTAATTCCACAACTCAATTATTCATGTGTGAATTTGTGATGTAGGAATGCGTGCATGGTTTGCTGCTTTTGCTGATACACGTTATTCAGTGGTTGTCCCCATAATTTCTGTTCAGGTATTGTTTCTTTTTGACTTAATGAGCTTAATTAAACACTTAATCCGACCTAATCACTTCATATGAATGTGTAGAGCTTTCGGTGGGCCTTAGATAATGATCAATGGCATGCTCGTGTGCACAGTATTAAGTCTGTGTTTGAAGGTAACTTAGACACTACTTTACAAAAGAAATATAAAATCTATATTTTTAATATGTTATCACTTATGTTTTTAATAAAACATGTAAGTTAAGTTATATAGGGGTGTTTTTTTACTTAATGCAGAAAAAAACGACTTTGAGTTGTAAATTTTTCAAAATTTCCCTCATTTATTTCGTAAAATATATTAAAAAAATTGTTTAAAATTCTCTTTATATATATATATATATATATATATATATATATATATATATATATATATATATATATATATAATTATGGTTTTTAGAATCTTACACCTATAGTTAGCACATTCACTCTTTCTAAATTGTAATTATTTTTTGCATGATTTTGTGATGTTAGTTTTATATTCTTTTTCTTCAGAAGCAAGGATTGATTTAGGGAAGGATACCATTGACAAAGAGGTTGTATAAAAGGTAAGTTTCATAAAGATTGATAAAATGTGTTGCAACGTGCATCAAATTGGTGTCTCACTTTTGATATTGTGCTACTTTTATGACCAGGTTTGGAACAGAATAGCTCCTGGTTTGGCATCTGAGTTTGACTCACATCATACAGTCCCAGTCATTGCAGTACGCCCTTTGTTGATTATAAACGGTGAAATGACCAATCTACCCATTCTTCTTGATCATATATATATATATATATATATATATATATATATATATATATATATATATATATATATATATATATATATATATTCTGATGAAATAATAATATGGATAAAACTATCAGGTGAAGTCGATCCCCGTTGTCCGCTAGAAGGTCTTGATGCTACCATATCAACAACACAAAAGGCTTTCGATGCCCATTCTTTGACTCATTTCAAGGTATTGACTTTTAACTTTTTGGTCTTGACCAATGTTTCTTGATTTTTCTAAATGGGCAAATTGCACGGAATAACAACGTACTTTACTAACAAAGAATATTAGTATGTTGATATTATAGGTAAAAAATAGAGTAGATTGTCTATATTGGTAAACAACAGTAAACAATAATGTTATATGATGTAATATTGTGTTGTATATGATGTAATTATGTGTTTTATTACGAATGAAATTTAGGTGATAGTCGAACCAGGAATTGGACATGAAGTGACGTTATCAATGCTTAAAGAAGCGAGTGATTGGTTTGACAGGTTTCTCAAACCGTAGAAATTTCTCATGCATGTGTATGTATGATACCTTTAGGCCCTGTTTTTAAGCTCTGCTGAATATTGTTCTATATCTAAACACCATGTGTATATCACATAAATAAAGCATTGGCATTGTTATTTGTATTAAACACATGAAAAAAACTTCCAATAAATAAACCTTATTCCAAATTTGATTATGTATTTTTTTTATTATAAAGGTGAGGGTAATTTAAGTATGTGTCTCAAGATTTGTGTTTTAAATTTGAAAGACATAGTTGTTGGTTATTCGGAAGTGGCAAACATTCTGAAAACTATACTTTGTGATTTGTCATTTAGAATTTATATCCTTATAAGTGTGATTTATCATTCTTCGAATTGTGGCTTTGTACATTCTTAATAACCATATAAGAAAATACTTTCTATTGTTGAAAGCCGAAAGGAGTAGCTAAAAAACTAAGCATAAAGCGGAAGTTACTTGGTGTAGTGGTATAATTTTTGCAAAAGTGTTGTTTTTTAATCAACCACCATGTAAATTAAGTACACAACGACCCGTTAGGTTGGACAGAATGGTCACATGACAGAAAGATAACAATTCCCATGGTTTTGGGATAAAATCAAAATAGAGACAATTTGATGCTGGTGTGTGTAGAGGGATGGACGAATGGAAATATGGTCATTCTCTCATCATTGTTTCTATAGTAACCATATAGTTGAACTCATCGGAGTTGAAAATAGTCTGTTCGAATTTGAAATAAACTTCGTTAATAATATGATTTCAAAAGATTCCCCAAAGACTCGACTAATCTAGACTTTGTATTTTTTGTATGTTGAGAAACATTTTAAATTTTTTTTTAATAGATATATATTTAAGTAAATACATAAAATATTAATGAATATATTTTTTAAAGTTATATGACTAACAAGTAATTGTTAAAACATTCATAGTAATAATGAATACATTTTCTTAAAATTAACTAATTTTCCTTAATTAACTTAAATATTGTAAAAAGTTCTATATCACATAATGTATCATATTTCAAAAATTGTATTAGTTGAAATTAATATTTATTTAAATAAAGATATGAGAATAATATTATTAATATTTGATATTTGTGTATTTAAAAGTTCAACAATAAATTTTTAATGATATAAAATTTCAATAATATATATTCAGATGAATAGAGTAAATTATCACAAAATTATAAAATTTAAACATTTAAATATAAGTAGAGTGTAAGTTGTTATTAAATGTAAGGTTTAAAATAGAAAACATCTATAAATGATTAAAATGTTGAAGTTTAGTAAATGGTTGGAGTGTATTTAAAAAAACCCTTCTTATCTCTACTTATATAAAGTTTTTAATGTTTTTTTGAAATAATAACAAAAAATTTATAAAAAAATTACCATTAAAAATTCCCTAGAAGTAATTGTCCAAATATTCAAAATAAAACACACACACACACACACAAACATACACACACACATACACATATATATATATATAAATATATATATATGTATATATATATATATATATATATATATATATATATATATATATATAAACACACACACACGCAAAAGTTAAACAAACAACCATTCTAAATTATGGAACCAAGGAACAAATCTTGGCCATTAGAAAGAAATTTGATCAGAGGCCAAAACATCTGATGCACATTAAAAGGTTGTACGCATATTCACTGGATCGTAACAAAAAACCCATTTTTTTTTTCTTATGACTAATCTTTAATAAAAAAAATAAATCGACTTTCCCGAACTTCATAATTTTTATCCTCTTTCCATAAACATCCATACCGATATACTAAAACTATTTTTTTTTTCAAAAACTCACTTCCTTTGGTTAGCGTTTTTAACATTTAGTCTTATTTTTTATTGAAAAAAAATGAATTTAATAGACCAATATTCATAATTATTTGGTACACTTTAAATAAACATTCATATGGTTGTAAAAAAATAATAATAAAAAAAAGAATAAATCGAAACTATCAACACATTTACACTTTGAATCTGACCATACTGTGTGAATCAGATTCAAAAAGTGTGAATCTGATCTGCATATAATTGTCTTTAGCATTCACAGTGTGAATAAATTCACTTGTGAATTTTACAAAACCAATTTTTAAGTAATTAAAACATTAAAATATTATAAACTATAAGGAAATATACTTTGATTCATATGTAAATTTCACTAAATCAATTTGTAGATGATAAAAAGTGTTGAAATAATAAGTAAGATTCACATTGTGAATACGAAAAACAAAATTATATGCAGGTCACGTTCACCGTGTGAATCAAATTCACAATATGAATCTATTTAAAGTGTGAATTTAGATTCACAATGTGAATCTGATTTCCAGTATGATTCTGAATTGCCCTGAACGTGAATGTACCATGTTTTGGTACAATCGAATTGGCATGAGATTTGTGGCACTTCCAGCAAATTATGTAAATATGCTTTAATATAATTTCAAAAAATAAATAAATAAAATAAAAAATATATCAAAACGAAATGTGTACATTGAAAGAACACTACTGGCAGAAGACCAACCATAAACCTTCAATAACCTAACACCATTAATTAAATGACACTCAACATTTTTGTAACATCCTGATCTTGAGGTATTTTTAATTTTAACCGTAAATATTAAAGAATATTGCATTTTGACCCTTGGGTTTGAAAATGTTTGCAAAAATGGCCTATAGTGGCATTTCAGTAACTTTGGCCAAGAATTAGTACATTCAATGTATGTTCTGTACGCTAGGTGTACTAGGACAGACCCTAGTATGTGGGAGTACACCACATATGTAGGGCGTACATGATTAACATTCAAACCCTAACATTTAGTGTTTCATCCATATACAAACATCATTATCTCTCGTTTCTCATTCCCTCGCTAGCTCCCTTTGAGAAAAACGACCCCCAAGATAACCCTAAGTGAGAAGACTACATCTTGAGCTTATCCTTTTGTTTTGTGGCATTCGTGAAGAAGAAGAAGGAATTGAGAAGAGCTTAGAGCTCTGAAGCAACTTGGATATGAGATTATATCCTTGCTAGAAACCTTCAGGAGGTAAGAAGTTCATAACTTGATCACCATATCTTGTAGATATATCCAGTTCTTCATTTAGGGCACTTTTTGTGCCAAATATGGTGATTCTTGATCATGGCATGCTCTTAACCAAATTAGTCATCCTTTCAGACCTTGTGAGGGGTCTTGAGTCATAAAAACATTTATAAATGATCACGTTGAAGTCTGGTGGGAATTTCATGGCTGATGTCATTGATTGTGAGAGGAAGGTTGTTGATGTTGATAAGTCCGTCATCTGCTGAATCATCCGCCTCAGACGATCTAGAACCGTGAGAGGTGCTTGCCGCGTACTCATTTGCGATTAGCTCAGGAAAGAGAAGCTCCATGAAATATTGAGTAGCAGCGGAAGTATCTCTAGTCATGAATCCTCTTTCAGCAAGAGTAAGAGGAGTGGCTTCAGCATCAGGATTGATTCTTTGACTTGGAGAACCTAAAGAAGTATTTGGAACAGCTTTATCCACCATAGGAGTCGTAGGAGGCGCCAAAGGTGGTCTGTACATAACATCTTCCTCTTTATCTGCAATAACAACCTTCGTACCCGAGCAAGAACCTGACACATCATCTGAAAACACATTAAATGATTTAAATAAAGAAGCATAGTCAAATAACCAGTCAGGACCGACTCGGCATCTGTCTCATTCTCTTCCAGCCGGCGCACATTGAAACATTCCACAATCTACTTGGTGTTCTTGTTGTATACCCGATAAGTAGTGCATGCAGCGTATCCCACAAAGTAGCAATCATTGGCCTTCGAGTTGAACTTGATGGGTTTCGAGCAATACATCATTCCTATGGTGTACATGCAAATCCTAATAGCTTTTGGATCTAGTTTGTCTAAATTAAATATCCAAATCTATAAACCCTAGATCTAGCATACAATTAATCATATTAACATAAAATAGGGTTTAGATCTAAACTTTGATTGTTATAACAATCAATCCTTGGCTTCAGAAAGCTTAGTGCAACAACTGCTGCACCTCTAATGGAGTCATAAACACCATTAAGCAACAAGATGAAGAAGAGAAGAGAGGTGAGGAACCAAAAACGGCTGGAAACCCTAATCCAAGTGTTGGCTACGTTTTTGGTGCATAGAGGGTCTTTATATACATGTAGGCTATTAGGGTTTACAACTAGGAAATCCTACTATGGCTGCTTAAGCCCTAAGCAGCGCATGGACTCCTTTAACATATCCCTTGGAAGAATTCCTTATGGTCTTCCCATAGAATTCGTCCAACCTATATTATTTAGGTAATCCATAGCCCAATTGCAATTATCTTATAATTACAAATCCAGTCCTGTAAGTTCAATTAATCTCTTTTAGCCACAAAATCAATTCTTAATTAATTCTTGACTAATATTAATTAAACAATATGATTTTTCCTTTAATATATTACTCTCATAATATATTAATAAATCATAATTAAACCTATCTCTCCTTAATTCATCCTGCATATTGCTATGGTGAAGGCAACCCAAAAGGACCATGCTCATAATCGGGTCAAGTACAAAACAAAATAGTTATGGACTTAGACGCTAATCCAACAGTCTTCCACTTGGATAAGTCTAATAACTATTTTTCGTATGACTTCAGAACCTGATCAGCAATCGTAGCTTTCAAAAGCCGCTGTCAACTCTGATCTTTTTAGATAGTGTGTCCTTTAGATAAGAGATTATATATTCCTCCATTCTCAAGATATCATATAGACATAAGACATAAATTTCAATCGTTCTCTCTATACTGTTTGCCGACTTCCGATTTATGACGACTGACAACAGACTACAATTGAACACATCAACTTAGTTCCGGCTTGGGCAAGCGCTTAGGTGTCATCACTAAATCATCGAGGGGCCCCACAGATATCACTTTGATCCCACTTTGGGTAAAAGGAATGGATAAAACTCAACTCAAATGCTCGCTTGCATTTATTGTTTGAATTACACACAACAATAAGTTTTATAACAACAAGTT